ATTAATCAAACAAAAACCAAGTGGGACAGGACTGGAGAGATAGCTCAGCAGTTTGCTGCTCTTCCATAGGACCCCGGCTCCATTCTCAGCAACCACGTGACAGTTTACAACCATTTGTAGTTCCAGTTTCAGAGGATGCTGTGCCCTCTTCTGGTCTCTGTAGGTACTACATGGTACAGACAAACAGTCAAAACACTCACACATAGGATAAAAAGAAGTATTTTCTTAAGGTGGAGTAGCCTGAGAAATGACACCAAAGGTTGTCCTCTGCCCTGTCCCCAGGCCTCCTAGAGGAGACAGGCACAGTCAGGGGCAATGTGAATGTAAATAATGACTCTTCATTGGAGGCTTATGAGATAAGGCTGGAGGCAAGTTGGGACTAGATCAGAGAATGCTGTGAATTCCTACTGGAGTCTTAACTTTGCCATCAGCACTGGGGAGTACAGAAGGTTTCCATCTGGAGTGAAAGGGGGTCATGCAAGGACTAGAGGATTTGCCCTGGAAGCAGCTCACAGGATAGACCTGTGAGACAACTTGAAGCAACAAGAATGTTGGTGCGATACTGTCTCTGGAGGCGAGTGTGTGCTCTCACAGACAATGCATACATAAGCTTGGTGCTCAGTGTAAGAAAGCCTGCTTCCACCAAACTGCCCCAGCCTGCTGTGGTAGGGAGATGGTGGGTCATCCCCTCCCCTCCCCTTTTCCTCTCCTCATCCTCCTAACCGTCTGGCTGGGCAAGAATGCAGCCACCTCCCCTCGACCTCTTGTGTATCCAGGTTCTCCCTCAACCTCCTGCTCTAACTCTAGCATATTTCTGCAGATACCTCTGCGTGCCCACGTGTGCGCGCGCACACACACACACACACACGAAATAAGAGTGAGCATGCCTCCACCTGGCAATGACCCCAAATCTAATGCCACTAGTGCCAGGGCATGGGACAGGGACTGACCATCCTGCAGCCTAATGAGCTCCAAAGGGCAGTGGAAAGTCAGGTACTTGGAGCGGGGAGGGACATTGCTGTTGAGGGCAGGGCAACTGATGGGGACCCATGTAAACTCTGAAGTGCGGACACAACTGAAAAACAACACCCTAGAAAGATAGAAGTAGGGCTGGGGTACTATCCAGAAGGGGAATCAGCGAAGGCACTACGGACCTCCCACCCATCCCCTCCTGCTCACTACACTCAGGGCAGACCCACTGGCATGGTTTGAATTTGCAATGTCCCTCACAGACTTGTGTATAAATGCCTGGTGCTCAGCTAGTGGTGTTATTTGGGAGGCTTTGGAACCTTTAGAAGGTGAGCCTAGCCAGGGACACCATGATGGCTCAGTTGATGACATGTTTACCACACAAGCATGAGGACCTTAGTTCAACCCCCAGGGCCAAAATAAAAAGCCACGTGTGATGGTGCACACTTATCACCTCATCAACAGGGACATGGAGAGAAAAGGTGCCCGTGGCTCACTGGTCAGCCGACCTAGGCTAATCAGCAAGCTCTGACCAATAAGATCCTGTCTCAAAAAAACAAGGTGGAGAGCCCCTGAGGAGTAACATCTGAGGATGACCTCTCACCTCCATATGCAAATACATGCAGCATGTGCACTTGTACAAGCAGGCATGCACCTGCACACACGTGAATATAAACACACACACACAGAAAGTGGACCTAGCTGGCTGAAGTAGGTCACAAGGGGCAGATCTGATGCCTGTGTGCTTCCTAGTCGGCTGTGCCATGAACGGCCTCAGCCAAGCACTCCTACCACCGTGAACTAAGCTAATTCACCACACTTTGCTCACCATGGCGGATTGAATCCACGAGCCAAAATGAATCCTCCTTCCTTTCAGCTGACTGTCAGGTACTGTGGCCACAAGGACACTATCATACCACCATGCCGGACAGCTTTCTTTTGTCCTTTTTGGGGGCCCTGGATGGCAAGGTGCTTAGGTCATGCCTTACCCTTCCTCCTTCACCCAAGACCCCCAAAGATAGGTGACTGCAAATAGTGAATCCTGGGAGGGGTGTCATCACTGAGATGCAGCAATTAACAGTGATTAACAGTTATCATGGCTACCCCATCACAGCCTCCGCCACCCAGAGAACAGACAGACTGGGTGCCTGGTGCTGCCCACTAGCTCTGTGCTCACCCTTCCCCAGCCTCCATTCTTGACACTTGTGGAGAATCCTCACTGGGGCTCACAGGAGCTCAGAAGCAGCAAACCTTGTAGAGGTCCCATATCCTCCATTTCTGTAGGCTTGCCCCTCAAGCTTAGACACTGAGGAGTTGCTGAATACATGCTTTTAACCCGTAAGTCCTTGGTGCCCATGGGGAAGGGTCAGCAGGAGCTTTATCATCTGTTCAGTCCTGAGGTCTTTTCTCCATTCCCCAAGCCAACCCAGACCAGAGGCTCCTGCGCCAGCATGACACCCTCCTCAAACTGCCAGTCAGTGCCACCCACTCCTCCCCTCCAAGCAGCGATCCCAGGCTTTCCTTCATGCCCTCCTGCTTTAACTCCAGACTACTTCTGCAGCTGAGGCCTGTGAGTGACCCACTGGGGAAGCAAAGGAGATCCACCTCCTCAGAAGTATCCCCAAGCTTCTAGCCCCTCACTTCTGTCTTCTGTTCAAATGTATCTTACCCCTGACTACCAGGCACTTCTCTGTGACACTTGTCCTTGATCTTGCCCTCTGTGTGAAGGACACAGGGAAAAGGCCATTTATTTAAAGCCTTATGCCGGTATACCAGGCCACTGGCATTGTGGCTTTGACAAGCTTTCATTCTACTAGCCTTCCAGAAGCACTCCCCTCATTTCACACCCTGACCAATGCTCTTGTAACCCCATCACCAGGGCCACTGGGGGAACACCTGCCTCCAGCTCAGGATGGCAGCCCTGGCCCCAGAGGGAAAGTTGCCTCACACTGCCCAGCCCCCAACCCTCATTCTAGAAAGAGGTAATTAGGAGCTGTGCAGTCCTTGTCCCCCAACAGGTACAGCTAAGCAGCAGCATCCATCATCAGGGGCAGCTGCCAGAGATGGAAAGGGTCACATGACTGGGCAGGGCCAATAGGAGAGTGAGGGGAAGCCTCTGAGCTAGGGATTGGCTGGGCTGAAGCAGGAGAGTTGAGGGCTGTTGGGGATAACCTGAGAATGACCTTGTAGGGACTTTAGTGCCCCTGGCTCTGCCCTGTCTCCCCAGACATCCTTCCATCTTGCCCCTGCTCCTCATCTGAGATCCACCTCCCAGCTCTGGCATTCTCTCCTGCCTTCCACATCATTGACTCCTCTTTCTCTCTTTAAAGGACAATGGCCTCTTATGTGCTTACCTAGTCCCAATGAGGAGACAGTTTTCTGGTCTGACCAGGTACGTGCTGACGCCTCCGTGAGGGAGAAAGGGAGAACAGAAGCACTGAAAGAAGGAAACGCCAACATAGGTGTAATCCCCAATTGCCCATGTGCATGCCAGGCCATGCCAGGTCATGCCAGCCAGTGTGTATGAAGAAGTCTGTGTTGGCAGCTGTACATATGGTATGGGTGCAGCCCAGGACGTGTTTTGAATACTTACACTGATGGGACACATTACCTAATGTGCCGCAGTGCACGAGGCAGAGTTGGACACGATGACCTTGTACTTTATTTCTGTGAGTGTGCACAGGCTCACAGTCACACATCCCTGGACCTGTCTGCATACACTAACACAACGGGTTTTCACCTTGACTGTTTCTGGCCCAGGTAAGGGAACCCCCTGCTACTCACTTGCCTCAGTAACCCCTTGGCACATCTCCAAACCAGATGAGGAACCCCCTCCTCAGCACCAGAGCCACCAGTCAAAGTGGCAACTGGCAGGAGAGAAGAAAGGGAGAAGAGGAGGGGGACTTCCCCAACACCTGTGAAGGGTCTTCATTACATATGCAAATATACTCATTAGCAATGCAGAGCACTTCCTGAGCTAATGGTTGCAGTGTTTCTGTGACGATGTACTGAGCAGGGACTGTGGGCAAGGGAAGAGGGGTACCAGGGCTCTCCATCCCTAACCCTAGGCAGGCTTTAGGAGGGGTCTGGGGAGGAGCCTATGGCCAGGACCAAGGGCCGCTGTGGACAGGCAATCAGAAGTCTTCTGCCACTGGAAGTCTTTGCATAGGATATTTGGCTATGCTTGGGTAGACTGGATGGAGTACAGCACTGCTCCCTTCAGGACCAGGACCAGGAGGAGGAATGCTGGTGCCAAGCGCACCGTTCTCCTCATCCCCCCCCCACCTCTCCACCCCCCATCCCCCACCCCCCACATCTCTACACCCAAATGCTGTGGTCCTTCAGGCTCCTGTGGAGGATGACCCTGGTCCCTGCCCCATAGGACACTGGGAGCTTCCTCCCTCTTACTGGCTTAACCTGCATTCTCCAGCCTCATTTCTTCCCACCTATGGCCTTGAACACCCAGAGAGAGAACAGTTCCACAGTCTGTCACCCCAACTATAGAGAAAGGAGTCAGACTCTCCTTTCCCTCCCCTGCCTCTTGTACACAGCCATGTACAAATGAGCCATTTCTTGGGTCTCATTTGTGCTGTTTCAATCTCACTGTCACCAACATGGCACCAGAAACAAACACAACCACTAACAGTCAACTCACAGGCGAGCGTCCTCAGAAACACACAGGCATCTGCTTCCCCCTCAGAGAGGCACAAGCCACCCTGCTCCTATTAACTTGCTCTTAAACACACACCCACGCTCCCTCCAGCTTCTGCTGTCCTTGTGCATACATATCACCCCATTTTAGGGACTGAGTCCACAGAGACCTCCCCTGCCCTACCCCCCACCTCTCCTTTCTTTGCTTCTCCCTCCCGCTCCCTCCCTCATCCCTGGGCACCCGTTTGCCAGGGTTATTTATAGAAGCAAGCGATAAATTCAGTGTGTTTCTCGGCGCGCAAAGCTATAAATAATGGCACAGATCATTAAACCCCGAGAGCAGGCCCAGCCGCCCCGCAAACAAGATGAAGTACAAACCACCACGTGAGAGGGAGAGGGCGGGGCAAGGGAGAGCCCCAGGCCCGGGGACATTAGGTCCAGTCTGCACCCCTCAATCCAGCTCCAGTGAACCTGGGCCTCCAAGGTACCTGCTGGGCTCAAGGGTGGGCCGGGGGGTTCACGCATTGGTCAGACAAGCTCCCACACACTCTATTCTTCCTTTCTCCCCTCTCCTGTCCTTGCTCTCTCCACTTCCTGCATTGTTCTCCTGTCTTTCATGTATCACTTCTTTTTTTTTTGTTTTGTTTTGTTTTGTTGAGACAGGGTTTCTCTATGTAGCCCTGGCTATCCTGGAACTCACTCTGTAGACCAGGCTGGCCTCGAACTCACAGAGATCTCCCTATCTCTGCCTCAAGAGTGCTGGGGTGCTGGGATTAAAGATGTGCACCACCACTCCTGGCTTTTTTTTTTTTTAACTAATTATCCTTTACTTTCCTGCCAATAGGGTAAGAATGTCCTTTTTTAAAATTTATTTATTTTTATTTTATGTTCTTTTTTTTTTTTTTTTTTTTGGTTTTTTGCCTTCATGTATGTTTGTGTGAGGGTATCAGAAGGTGTGGAACTGGAGTTACAGACAGGTAGATGTGAGATGCCATGTGGGTGCTGGGAATTGAACCCAGGTCCCCAAGAAGAGCAGCCAGTGCTCTTAACCACTGAGTCATCTCTCCTAGACAAGGTCTTATTATGTAACTCTGGCTGTCCTGGAACTCGCTATATAGACCAGGCTGGCCTCAGACTCACAGAGATCTGCCTGCCTCTGCCTCCCGAGTGCTGGGATTTAAGGCCTGCACCACTACAACCGCCCCAATTCCCCTCTCCAACTCTCCTTTTGTCTCTCCAAGGTCCCTCCTGCCCTCTTACCTTCTGTCCTTCATCTCTCCCTCTCCTTCCCTTCTTTCCTTTCTTCCCCCTACCCCATGTCTGCAGGCCCCGGGTGGGAGTCTGGTCTCACCCAGGAGCCCTCAGAGGCAGAAAATCCCCTGTCAGCAGAACACTGGTGAGGGCTGCTGATTCAGTGTCTGTAATTTCCCAGGCGGAGGCGGGGAGGGGGACAGGGAAGATGGATGAGGAGGGAAATAGCACGGACACCAGGGACAGGCTTTGGATGAAGGGGTTTCTAGGGAGCAGAACCAGGGCTCCAGCAGGATTCCATCACCACTAGCTGGTCAGCCCAGGGAAGAGTGGTTTCAACATATGGAGAGAGAAAGCTGTGGAAAAGAACAAGAAAACCAGCAGAACGGGGGGGGGGGGGGCGGGGGGGGGGCAAAGAGGAGCCACAAGGAGGAGCCACTGAGAAAGTCAAGAGGTGTCAGAAGCATCAGAAAAGCTAGCAGAATGTGGTCCCATCCAATGCCATCTCATCCCCAGATCCATGCAGACCCACAGAGGCCACATTGCCTTTCTGAGTATGGGCCAAAGTATGGGAAGTTTGGGGATCCCAATCATGGCTACCCATCCCTCTCGCCTTCACTCTTAGGAAATGCCTCTACCCTATGGGATTCATCCACACTTTTCTGGTCTGCAAATTTGCCTCAGCCCCAACTCTGGTCCCTACATTCTAAGCATCTCACCCTTCCCACTGAGCCTGGGTTAGCCAGCCTGGGAGTTAAAGCCACTTCTAGGAGAGACTAAGAAAAGCCAGACTGGGAAACAGGATCAGACCCTAGGAAAACTGTCAGTTTTGTCCTTTTGGGGGGCGGGGTCAGGTAAACAAACTCCAAATGGGATTGCAGAGATCAGACTCTGCCAGAGCCTGCACCTGAGGGATGGAGACATAGGGCTGGTGAGCCATCCAGAATGGACTGAACGGTGTGCCTGAACACTATGCGCCCTGGTCTTGTGGCCAGGGATGGATGGTCAGGCCTGGAGCCTTCCTCACCTGCCCCACCCATGGCCCTACAACCATCTGCTCTCACTCGCTCGTGGGCAGCTTTGATGCACAACTTCGTTATTTGCCCAGGGATTTATAGTAGGAACCAGGGCAGCAGCTAAATCCCCCAGCCACTGAGTTAAATCAGCTGCTGTGATGGGCCGGAACGAGGGAGATGTTGGGCTGGGAGGCTGCACCGTGTGGCTGGAGAGGAAAACACTTGTCCCTGCTCCCTGGGGATAGCTGTCTATAAATCCCCTCAGGTACCCATTAGGGCCGGCAGACAGACTTCAGCACCGGCCTGCTGGCACAGAGAAGGCCACAACAGGCAGCACCCGCTGGCACAGAGAAGGCCACAGCAGGCAGCACCGGCAGAAGCAGGCTGAAGCCAAGGGCTGGAGTGGACTACAAGAGCAGCTCAAAGTATCTGGCCAGTCACAGTGGGTGTCACCACTCTGCTTTAGAAGCTGTGTGAAATGGTGTCTCTAATGAGAGGGCAGGTTCTGGACAGCAAGAGTGCCGGGCTCAGAACCTTGCTCAGCCATTTGCTGTGTGACCCCAGTCAAGTTGCTAGACTTCCCTGTGCTGTTGTAGCAGACACCTCCCAGGATTACTATGACTCAATGAGACACAGTGGATAAAGATCTGATCTAGGTCTGTGCCTGGCATTACAGAACAAAGTCTTGGGGCCAGCCTAGGAATGTGCAAAGGGAGAAGGGGTCATGAGACCCTTGGAAGACTCTGGAGGTACCGCGAGGATGTTACTCAGCCCCCTCCTCCCATGATGAGGGGGCTGAGAAGAAAGCTTATTATGCAAGCATGAGAAAGTGTTTGGATCTCCAGCACCTGTATAAAAATCCAGGCATGGCTGTAACCTCAATGCTGTAATGCCAGCGCCAGAAGGTGGAGCTAGGAAGATCCCAGCGCTCCCTGGTCAGTCTAGCTGAAAAGCTCCAGGTTCTGTAAGAGACTGTCTCAAAAATAAGGTGAAGAGCAAGGTGGGAAGACACCCGAAGTCAACTTCTAGCCTCCACACAGGCACACACATTCATATATACATGTGCATACACACACACACACACACACACACACACACACACACACACACACACGCAGAGAGAGAGAGAGACAGAGACAGAGAGACACAGAGAGAGGGAGAGGGAGGGAGGGAGGGGGAGAGAGAGAGAGAGAGAGAGAGAGAGAGAGAGAGAGAGAGAGAGACTCTGATTCAGGTTGATATTCATCTCCCTGGGGGACTGAAACCAGCCTTTCCCAGGGCTGTGGTTAAGAGCCCTGTAGGAGGCAGCCTGCACTTGCCTGCCCAATGTGATTTACTGAAAAGCCTTCAGCCAGCTATTTGGCTTCTCTAGACCTGCTCTTCTCATCCACAAAATGGACACAATAATATTCCTTTTCCAGAGTTACAGAGAGTTACATGATTGTGCACAGCTCTGTAGTGAGTGCTCATTACATTTAGGCTTGCTGTTACTATGTTTTCACCAGGTGAGCAAGTGAAGGTTAAGCATGGACCCTGAATCTAGCCAACAGCCCCCGGATCCAATAGCGTGTCCAACAACAGGGTGTCACTACCAAGGGCAAGAGTCAGGAGAGGGGTGCATGGGTAAGGCCGTGTGGATAGGTGGAAGGGGCAATAAGGAGATAGGAACGTAAGAGGAAGATGGGGGTTGACAGGAACAGAAAAGATGGCAGACTTACACCAGAGAGAGAGAGAGAGAGAGAAGGATGGGCCAGAAGCACATAAGAGAAAGCCCAGGAGGAGATAAAGAGGAGCTCCCTTGAAACAGAAATGGATGGCAAGGTAGAAAATGGAGATGGGATGGGGAATCCAGAGGAGCCACCAACAGAGGAGCCTGGAGCTGCAATCAGGGAAGGGGGGGGGGGGGGCTTGTAGATGTGCTGAGAGCAAAGGGAGCCTGGAGAGGAGAGAAGCAAGAGCCTGGAGAACAGGTATAGGACAAAGGAGGGAACTGGCAAGGCACCCGCCAGAGCACAATTTCAAGCTGTGTCCACTCTATGGCCTCCTCCCAGCTCTCACTTTCAGCTTGGCTTCCCTCGGCCTTCTTCCTGCCACCCACACCGTCATGCACCAAGTCTGCTGCAGGGCAGAGGACAGTAAGGAGCCTGGGGTGCCTGGACTCCGGTTACCAGAAGACAGGGAAAGGAGAGTCCCATGGTAGAGCAGAAACCTCCTCCTGGTAGCGCCCCCCTTCATTGGCATGTGGACCCCCAGGATGTAGTTACCACAACAAATAAAAGACAGTGGCTTCACATCTACAAGCCCCAGTCTCAAACAACCCTTGGGAAGCAGGCAGCATTACCGTTATCATTATTGTCACCACACATTCCAGATTGTGATGGGTATTGACTGATTCCTGAAACAGCCCTGTCATACCCATTCCACAGATGTGAACTGAGGCCTGGTATAATGAGTTCAGAAGATTCCATGCCCCTGCCCCAACGTGCCTTGTTCCTTGATCCTCTTTCTATTGTCCAATCTACATTTCTCTCTTCCTATCATGCCACCTCACAAATCTCAAACTGGCTTTCTGTTCACTCTCCAGGCATTCCCAGCAGAATCTGGTGTGTCTACAGACAACCTGGGGCCTTTACTTGGGAATGAGCTGGCAGGTGATGACCCAAAAGAAATCACACAGCGGCTGCAGACAACGTGACTGGTGACAGGATCTTCAGGACCTCCATCCCCACTTGCCACACCACAGAATCAGAGATGACCTACCATCTAAGACCCACCCATGATAGAACCAGAACCAATAAAGAAGTGGGGTGAGAAATGTTCTTGGGAGGGAAAGACAAGAATGTACAGCTACTGAAGAGGAACCGAAGACCCAGTCCTCAGATTCCTAACATAAAAATATTGGGAACCAAATAACAGCTAAAAAAAATTTCCCTAGCCAGACATGGAGGTATTCACCAGCAGTCTCAGCATTTTGGAGATGGAACCTGGAGGACCAAGAGTTAAAAGTCATCCCTGGATACATCATGAGTTCCAGGATAGCCTAGGCTACATGAGACTCTGTTTCAAATAATAAATAAGTGTCCCCATACCAGAAGCCTTATCAATCCTGTTCCCAGCACCAATTCCTTGCCATGCATCAAAAGCATGATCAGAAAGAGCCAGCAAGATGGTTCAGTGGGTAAAGTTAGATCCCTGGTACATACACATGTGTGTGCACACACATAAACACAATGAAAATAAAGAAATTTAAATATGTATCTACTTGTATGTGTATGAGTGCTTGCATGTATGTATACCATGTATGTATCTAGTACCCATTCCTTGAAATTAGAGTTACAGATGGTTATGAGCCACCATATCAGTACTAGGAACCAAACATGGGTCTTCTATGAGAGTAGCAAGTGCTCTTAACCACTTAGACATCCCTCCAACCATAAATAAAGTTAAAGAAAAAATGTGCACACACAAAAACAGGGCTTGAGAGATGGTTTGGTGGTTTAGAGCATTTACTGCTTTTGCAAAGGACCTGTATTCAATCCCCAGCACCGACATGATGACTCACAACCACCCATAACTCCAATTTTAGGGGATCTGATGCCCTCTTCTGTCCCCCAAGAGCACCAGGTACACATGTGGTACACAGGCATATTCAGGGAAAACATTGAAACATATAAAATAAAATAAATAAATACTTTTTAAAAATTTAAAAGAACAATGGAGCTGGGCATGGTGGTGCACACCTTTTATCCCAACACTCAGGAGACAGAAGCTGGATGATCTCTGTGAGTTCAAGGCCAGCCTGGTCTACAGAGTAAGTTCCAGAACACCCAGGGCTACATAGAGAAATTCTGTCTCAAAAGAAGGAGGAGAAGGAGGAGGAGGAGGAAGAAGAAGGAGGAGGGAAGGAGGGGCTGGCAAGGCAGCTCAGCAGCTCAGGGGGCCACTGTCCTTGCGGAGGACATGAACTCTGCTCCCAGCAGGTTCATGTTGGGCAGCTCACAGACACCTGTAAGTCCAGCTTCAGGGGATCCAATGGCCTCTTCTGGCCTCTGTGGGTACCTTCATTCACATATATATGCCTACATACAGACACATGCATACACATGATCAAAAATAAAAGTAAGACTTTTATTTTAAAGACTTCTCAATGTGGTGGTGCACACCTTTAATCCCAGCATTGGAGAGGTGGAGGCAGGAGGATTTCTGTAAGATCCAAGCTAGCCAGGTCTACATAGAGAAAACCTCTCTCAAAACTAAAAAATAAATAAGAAAAAATGTGATCAACAGCAAGGATTTCTCATCACTACACAAGTTCTAGATTTTTCCTGACATGTGAGGCAGAGCACATTTGCTATGGAACTGGAAGGCAGTTGGGCTCATGATCTTAGAGAAATGGGGAAGACAGAAGCCATGGTGTCCCACAAATCCCTCCCAGAGAAGAGAAGCCAAATCCAGGAAGGAAGGTACCAGTCCTCCAGTGGGTTTCCTGCCTCCAACCCCTACGCATACACTCCGGAATGGCCCATGTGGAACTAAGCCCCTGTTAGCCAGTTTCTCTACCTTCTACCCAATGCTGCTCACTATTCCTGGCTGCTTCTGATTAGCATGGGGATCAATGGCAACAAAATAAATGAAATGAAAACAATATCCCACACCTTCCATGGACAAAAATCTTCCTTCCTTGTTGGCACAACTTCTGACCTACAGGAGGAAATCGTACCAGTAAGAAAATGATGTCAGGTGCAGAAAGGGAAAAGGAGGGAAGCTGGAGAGGTGGCTCAGAGGTCCTGAGTTCAATTCCCAGCAACCACATGGTGGCTCACAACCATCTGTAATGAGATCTGATATCTCTTCCGGTGTTCAGGCAAACATGCAGGCAGAACACTGCATACATAATAAATAAATATTTTTAAAAAAGAAAAAGGACAAAGAAGTGAGTCTTTGTCATGGAGAAGCCTGACTTGCAAGCCTGGCTCCTTCCCACATAGTCAGAAAGATGCTGCCTTTCCCCAGCAGCCCACACATGTGTGCGTGCAATACACAATAAAGTTAAGCTGGCTCTTAGAAAGACTGGCAGAGGTATCCAGGCATGAAAAGCCCTCTGGCACTGAACATATGAGCAGCGGCACCCTCTCCAAGGCCTTAAACACTGAGCTGAAAGCTATCTGAGCAGCTGGTGGGGTACTGGAAGAAGGCAGGTGGATAGAAGCGTTTGCCAACGTGGACCAGCGAAGTTGCCTCACTCTAAAGAGCGGCCTCTGGTTTGCCAGAGTTTGAGCCCAGCCTGGGCGACACAGTGTACTAGGTCAGTTAGACAGACAGGCACCCTGTCTCAAAGAAACAAAAAGTGTCATAACTGGTTTTCATGGGAAGTTCTTGGGCAAACTAATCTGAAGTTGAGACAGAAAGCTCATAAACCTCCCCAACAAATACACACTGACAAGGGAGTCCACAGACAAAGGTCCGACCTGTAGACCGGTGAACCAACAAATACAGAACCCCTCCCAGAAGCTCCCCTCCAAACACACCTGTGTCCTCCTGAAATTCCCATCCACAGCTTACACACACACACACACACACACACACACACACACACACACACACACACAGAGAGAGAGAGAGAGAGAGAGAGAGAGAGAGAGAGAGAGAGAGACCTGCATTTACATCAAAGAACTGATTCCTCCAACTGGCATTCAGAACCCTCCAAGAAAGTACAGTCCCAGTATGTTTCCCACTCTCCAGCTATTGGTCCCTTTATGGTTCAAAGGACAATACTGTGAATCACCTGTTTCCCATTCACTGTTCTAGCGCAACCTCACCACCCCAAACCTCATCAGTGTTCTCTCCATCTTCCTCCAACGCGAAATTTAAATTCCACTTCTCCCATTCTCTCACTATTATCTTAAGGCAGCGTTCCACGTATCCCAGACTGCCCTAGAACTCTATGTAGCCAAGACAACTTTGGCTGGGGTTACAGTATGTACCACCAAGCCCATTGTGTGCAGTGCGGGGGATCAAATCCAAGGCCTCATGCGCAGTAGACAGGTGCTCTACCCTATGAGCTGCATCGCAGTCCCTACTTTGGTCACTGTGTGTCCCCTCCCCATGGGATGGGCCTCTGTCTTGAGTTCACTCTGTGCCTGGTGTTGGAAGGCAGTTCCGGCTATGCTTGAACACCCAGATGAAAACTACAGACCTGCTCTCAGCTCAGTTTTCTCTTTGTGACTCACAGGGTTCCCTGAGTAAAGAGACCAATTAGAGACTGCAGTCATTCCAAGAGCCTGTCCCCCATCATAGGTGGGGCCTTTGAGAAAGAGGATTTGATGTGGTGGAAAGCCTTCCTGAAACTGTTCAGTTAGGGGCTTTCTGAGGGGCTTTGGGGGCCTTAGAGTTTGTTTGGGCTCTTCTCCTCACTGTCTCTCTCACTCAGTCTGAAATCTCTCAGTCTGAGGCTGAGGGAAGCTTGTAATCTGAAAAGCAACCACATCTGCATCTCCATCAGAATGTTGGAAATGCAAACTCTTGGCCCTACCCCAGACCCATTCAGCCCAGTGCTAAAGTTCTGATCCCTAGGTGATTAGGAACACATTAGAGTTGAAGGTCATAGCCTAGATGTCCAGAAAGGCAGACCAGAGACCCCACAGGAAGGCAGAATGCCCAAGCCATTCATTCATTAAAGCTCCTATTTGATAAATAAGAAATAAGCACCAGTTGAGTGAAAAATGCCAGGCACTGGAGATAAAACTATGAATGACTTGGGGGCTGGGGAGATGGCTCAGCAGTTAGAACTGACCGCTCTTCTAGAGAACCTTAGGTTGATTTCCAGTACCCACATGAAGCAACCATCTGTTACTTCATTCCTAGAGGAGCCTATACTTTCTTCTTCTTCTTCTTCTTCTTCTTCTTCTTCTTCTTCTTCTTCTTCTTCTTCTTCTTCTTCTTCTTCTTCTTCTTGCCTTCACATGCACCAGACATGCACATGGTATACAGACATACACATTAAATCAATAAACAAACAAATACCTGTGGATGACTAGGTCTGGGTGGCCAGGCTGAGCAAACAGGTCTGTTCTCACCTAGTTGTCTAAGTTTGGGTCCCCAGCCCTGCCGGAACAAGGGGTTAATTTACCTGAAGACTCTCTCAACCCTGAGGCTAATGAGATCTGTCCTTGGATCAAAAGACAGACAGGATAAGGAGCAGATGGGAAGAAGTCTGAACACAAGGACACAGAAAAGATGGAAAGTCCTGGATGTGTGCCTCCCCTCCTGTCCCCCTTCCAGAGGCATACTCCAGCATGTTTTCCCCACTGCCAGTACTGAGAGGGAACCCAGGAACTTAGGCATGCTAGATAAGTACTCTGTCACTTGACTTCTTTATTAGGGCCCCCTCCAGGATGCTACTCAATTTTCAGTCAGACAGCCTCCCATGAAAGGGGTCTTCTGATAGATACCTCCTGTAGATAAAATCTACTCACTTTCCTCCAGCCCCTGTAACCCAGAGGCCAAGACAGTGAAGACAGGCTGCACCTAACAGGGTGAGCACAGGACAGGGTACTGGTTGGGACTGACTGAAGGACACAGGAGGAGAAGTAAGGAACACAGACTCAGGATCCAGAGCCAGGGGTTGGTGAGAGTGTCCGCTGCAGAACGGGACCAGCAAGGGAGGCCAGTTAGGGGCTTGCAGCAGTCAGCAACACAGAAGAACCAAAGTGGCTTCCACTGAAATCCTTCAGGTGGAGACAGTGGAGCACACGGCTCAGAGCCACGTTACCTTCTGAGAATGGGGCTGAAGAACTTACATATTGGCCTGGGTATTCAGAACCCCAGAGAAAGGAAGAAGATGACTTACTGTTGGGTTCAGGGCCTGAGTCACCTGACAGGCTCGGCAATCCAAGAGGATCTTGGGACTGGTTCTGAAAGACCCGGTCAGAGTAAGGTTTGGAGGACAGAAAGGACCTAGGTAGAGAGGAGAGTCCATATTGGAAAGTCACCAAGAAAGCAAAGAGTCACCAAGAGGCGGGAAAAGAAGGAGCAAATGACATCTTTGTAAAAGTTTCTGAACAGTGAGAATTCCTTCTGTCTCCATTGTCTCCTTTAAGCCTCCCTCTCACGGATGGACATAGTCCTGTGCTCAGGAACCCTCTGCTGCCTGTGGCAGAGCAGGTACATGAAGAACACTCAGTTCTGCTCTAGGAGTCCTGGTCACTTGCTGGCAGGAGTTCTGGGCAAGCTGTTTCTCACAAGGCCTCAGTTTCCC